GCCTGGGTGTGAGGGTGGGGTTGTGTGGGCACAGGTCCTGGTGCAGCATAAGAGGCTTGTGCCGAGGAGGCCCCAGGGTGAAGGTGATACAGATCTGTGTCTGTGCAGAGGGCTGTCCCAGTGCTGGGCTCAGGGCTGGTGGTTTGTGGAGCTCCTGAAGCAGGGGGATGAGGCTGAGTGCAGTGGGGGATTTCCCTGAGCACAGGTGGGTTCTGGTCACTGCATCTCACATGGTGACACCAGCTGTGTGCTCTGTCTCCCTGTTCTTGACTGCAAATGCAGAAGGTGCTTGGACCTACCCTGGAGGCACTGACTCTCCCATCAGTGAATTTAATGGCAGTAGAAGCGTGCATCTGTGTGTGTTTGTATGCATGTGAGAGAGAGATCTGAGCTTTCCTTTCCACAGTTTGGTATCTCCTCTGTGAATGTTTGGCACCAAGGTCGGCACCATGAGATCTTGATGCCTGTCAGTATTGAACTCTGGGGGTCTGGGTCTGGGCTGCACTCAGCTCCTTCCCTTGGCTGTTGCTGAGCAGGGAATCAGTAAAGCACAGGAAGCCAGTATGACCCTTAGAGAACTGTGCACAACCTGCTTCCCCTTTGTGTGCTGGGTTGCAGCCAGGCAATGCTGGGCTTGCCTCATGTGGAACCACTTTCCAGAGCATGGGTCCCTACCCAGCACCAGTGAGATCTTTGGCCCCTGTCTAGAGTGCTGGGAATGAGTGTGTCAGCCTAAGGGCAGGACTTGGCACTGGGGAGATGGGGTGGGGGGGCCATTTGTATGGAGAAACCTGCCCTGTCCAGGCCAGGGTCAGGCCAGAGGGTAGCAGCAGAAGAAGGATTAACAAGGGCCCTGATTCCCTCACCAGATACCCTCAGCCTGAGCTGCTCCAGCAGGCTGGCGGAGGCTGTTGGCTGCTCCTGGCAGGCTCCTGCCCTGCAGCTGGGAGAGGAAGCTGAGGGGAGAGGTGTCTGCACTCCCTGCCCTGGGCTCCAGGTTGGGGCCTCACAGATGAAGCCCTGGAGTGCAGTGTTCCCCAGGAGCCCGACACCCCCTGGCCTGAGGTTGGGGGGTCTCTCCATGTATCCCTCTCTGGCCCCGTGTGGGGGTTGTTGTCCCACCCATGGCAGTGAGAGACCCTGAGAGCTGAGCACTTCCTGCTCCAAACCTGGGTGGGCTGTGTCTGGAGGCTCCTGGACTCTGGCTGTCTGGACTGTCCTCTCCCAGCCCTTTTCCAGCAAGGTTGGTGTGAGGGAGCCTGAGTTCAGGGATCTCTCCCATGAGTGGGAGCTGGGCAGCTCTGGAAGGGTGGGTTGGGGATTGGGATGGGATCAGCTCCTGCCTTTCTTTATTTAGTAGCATTGAGTAGGAAGTCGGTGCAGGGTAGGAGGCTGGGATGGATCTCAGAGCTGTGCACAGCCCACTTCCCCTTTGTGTGCAGCCCAAGCCCTGCTGTGTCACAGTATCACCTGGACTTCACTTCCCAGTCCCATCCACTCTGGGCCTTTCCCAGGAGGCTGCTGGATCCAGTTCCAGGGATACCCACTGGTGCTCACAGACTGACCTGTGACAGCACTGGTCAGGATAAGGGTGTCTCCAGGCTTCACTACTTCAGGGCCAGACTGGAGCAGCTGCATCTGGGAAAGGGCAACTGGGAACACAAGGGGAATAACAGGGGCAAAACTGTCTGTGTTCCTCAGCTGGACTGCAGGTGAGGGCACCGGAGAGCCCAGGTTTGGAGCAGGGGATAGTCCCCTAGAGGAACCGACCTGGGGTGAGGAGGGAGGAGGAGGAGAGGAGAAAAAGTAGTGAAAGGATCATGCACTGAGAGTGTCTGAGTAACCCCAGCAGTGCCAGCTCCTGCCCCAGGCTGGTGCCCGAGCCCTGCATGAGCTGGGACTTTATCAGGGAGCTGGGGCTGGGATTTGCATGTCTGCTGCCCAGAGCCCTGCCCAGGAGACTGTCCTGAGGAGAACGGTGTCTATTGAGGAATCTCCTCAATCCTCTGCCCCTTGGGATTGGATCCTCTTTGAGCCCTGGCCTGGGCCCCAGGGGGGACACTCCCTGTTACTGGGTGTCTCTGCCTGCTGTCACACCCTGTACAGGTCTCAGGTGATGTAACTGGTTTGAACTCCCCCAGTCCTTGTCTCCCTGCCGATGTCCTCAGTGCTTGTATCTGCTTCTGTCATGTGGGGTAAATAAAGGTCCCACGTGAGCAGGTGAATCCTGGTTGCATTCCTAAGGCAGGTGATAGGCCTGTGCGATTTGATCCGGCAGCGATCTGGTCCGGCTTCGGATCTGGCTGCTTCGGATGGCCGCGATCCGATTCGGAGCTCCAGACTGGGTTTCTGCCTCCATCCGGCCAAAGCTTCGGAGCCGCCTTGAAGATCCGGCCATAGGGTATACTGGGGAATCAATGAAACATCTATAACTTTTTGTTTCTTGTCCAATTTGGATGAAACTTGCAGGGGTGCTAGCCTCTGCTGGGAGCATGAAATCGCCAAGTTTCAAGAATATCGGTACAGGGGTTTGGGGGGAACTGTACCCCAAATTATTGAAAGCCAAACTCGTATCACTGCTGTGTCGCACCACAGGGCGGGTGAAAACTGCAGGGCTGGTAGCTGTTACTGAGGCTACAAAGTAACTGCCAAGTTTCGAGGAGATCGGTGCAGGGGTTTGGGGGGAACTGTACCTCAAGCTGTGGACAAGCAAAAGGTGACATGGGTGACACTGTGTGTGCTCAGGCGCAGCGGGGTGACAGCTGCAGGGATGGTGGCCCCTGCTGTGACTCCTGCCAGCTGTGGAGGAGAGCAGTGCAGGGGGGTGCTGGGGCCCTGCACCCCTAGCTGCTGACAGGCAAAACTCGTGCCAAGACTGTGTCTGTCTTGGGGCAGTTGATTGTCTGTATTGAGTCTTTCCTCTCCTTAGCCTGGTTTTGTAGGTGTTAATTGCTGCTCCTTAAGTCGCTGTGTAGTAGCTAGGTCCCGGGTATTGAGCTGGTCCCCCGAGTCCCTGGTCCCCGAGTGAATCATGATTGATTGATTGGTAACTGGTAACACAGCAGCGTAGCAGCCCGGCCTGCAGCAGTCTCCCCACTCCCGCCCCAGGACAGACACAGTCAGTCCCACAGCACCCATGGCACCAGTTTTGCTTGTCCGCAGCTTGAGGGGCAGTTCCCCCAAACCCCTGCACCTATCTTCTTGAAACATGGCAGGCTTTGTGGCCTCAGCAGGAGCTACCAGCCCTGCAGTTTTGGCCCCCCTGTGTTGTAACACATAGACGTGACAGTTTTCCTTTCAAGAATTTAGGATGCTGTTCCCCCCAAACCTCTGCACTGATCTTCTTGAAACTTGGCAGAGTTTACCATTCCTGCAAGTTCCATCCAAATCAGACAGGAAACAACAAAGTTATAGATATTTTATTGTTCCCCGTTATACCCTATGGCTGGATTTCCGAGGCAGCTCCGAAGCTCTTCGGGAAGCCGAGCGAGGCCGGTGCTTTGACCCGGACGTGCTGCTTCGGACCCCAAAACATCCAAAGCTTCTCCAGATCCAAAGCTCTGTCCGAAGCCTTGCACAGCCTGAGCAGGTGAGCTGTGCTTTGGGTTCCTTCTCCCCCTCCCCTGGACCCTTATCCACATCCAAGGGCTGGATCCCTCCCCAGAGGGGTCTGAGAGGCAATAGCTACTGAGCTGAGGGCCCTGGCACAGGCAGGATCAGGCTGTGAAGAGAAGTTTTGCTCTGGGGCTAGAAGAGGACAGTTCAGGTACTGCTCTTGGGCCCTTGACAGGATGAGTATTTACCTGGGGGAAGGTGTACAGAGGGCAGTGTTGCAGGCCCTGTATGGCTGGCTATGGGACAAAGTAACTGCAGAAGAGATCTTGCTGAGCTCAAGGGGTCGTATGTGGGGTGTGGTTGAGCTGGGGGGTAAAACTGCCAACAGCTGGTATTACTGAGACCAGGCATTGAACTACAGCCTAATTCCTTCCAAGCCCCTGGGCACATCTCTGTATGCCCAGTGTCTCTGGGATTGCTCACTGCTTCCAACACCCCTGCACATGGGAGAGAGAAGAAAAGAGGCTCTCCTAAGGGGAGGGGACTCATCAGTTCAGTTTAGAGGGATGTGCATGTGAGGGCATGGAGGGTCTCCCCTAAGGGTTAGGCCTAGGTACTCAGGCTGGATGGAGCCAGGTGGCTGTGGGGGCTCACAGGTGAGGAACATATGGAGCATTATGCCAGGGGATTAGTTAATGAGTGGGAGATGCAAAGAAACCAAAATGATGCCCCTGGGGCTGCCTGTGCCCAGGGCAGGAACTTGGCCCGTCTCTCCCTTTCAGGCTCCGAATCTCTCTGACTCTTGCTTTGTCTTCCCACCCTGTAGGGTGGGGTCTTCAGTGGAGATTTTTGCCTCTTTTAGCCCATGTAACTTCGAAACCCCTGTCAGACTTGAGCTGTGAGTGAGTGCAGGTCCCAGCAGACCCTGTCCTAGGCCATGCTGGGAGGAGCTGTGTTTCCCAGTGGGAGCTCTGGGGGCACTTTCCCTCCTGAGGGCAGAACTGGGGATGTAGGTGTTGTACCTGCTGGGGCATCCTCACATAACATGTCCAGAAGTTCCTGTGTGAGCGCCGTAGAGATTTCTCTCATTGTTTCTCTCTTAGGAGAATTCGGGACCATTTCTCTGGGGCCCAGGCTGCTCCTCTGCAGGTGCAGCAGGTTACTGGCATGTCTCTGGGGATAGTGAATTGTCCTTTCCAAAATATTTTGGCTATAGCAGGTAAGTGAGACCCACTCCAGCTCTTTTCTGGGAGCCTGATGTACACAATCTGTGCTGCAGCTGCTGAAGTCAAACTTGGAGGCTTTGCATGAAACATGTAGACAGTCTCCAGGATACCTCACATCCCTTCTGGACTCCACCGGTGGCACCTGGGACCAGACACCTTGGACCACAGAGATAAGACAGACATGAGTATAAGACTGGCCGTGGTGCAATACTCTGACTTAGCAAAGCTGGAAAGTCAGTGTTCAGATGCCCTGAATGCCTCTTCAGACTCTGCTTCCCCTTTCTGTGCAGCCCCTGCCCTGCTCTGTGTCACTGTGTCTCTGGTACAGAAATACGTGGCGGTGTCTGAAGCTGTCAGGGAGCGCAGCTGCAGGGAGAACTGGTTCTTGGAGCTGTCTCCAGACATGGTGACGCGGCTCTGGAGAGAAGGGTTGTAGCTTGTGCTCCCATCAGCAGGATATACATATCCCATCCACTCCAGCCCTTTCCCAGGAGGCTGCCGGATCCAGCTCCAGGCATAGTTGCTATCAGTAATAGAGACCCCGGAGACAGTACAGGTCATGCTGAGGGTTTCTCCAGGCTTCACCTGCCCAGGGCCAGACTCCTTCAGTGTGACCTGGGACAGGATACCTAATGGAGAAATGAACATGGCGTTAGCTGCTGGA